CTGCTGCTGCTGCTGCTGCTGTTGCTGCTGCTACTGCTACTATACTACTGCTGCTGCCGCCGCCGCCGCCGCCACCACCACCAGCAGTAAACAACGTCTAGCTGTAATTGTATATAGTTTGACGTCAGTGTCAATGTTGACTCTACGTATATAGCTCCAAAAAAGGTCACACAAAAGGCACCGAGGGCCAACAATTATTACACCGTGACAGGCTGTGTAATGTTAAAAACCCAAGGGCACTTGAGAGCCTTTTCAATAATAAAACGACGCGGTGAATAAACACACTTGCACATAATAAAACACGCTGTACTTAACTGCTGATGTACTTTTGTATACTCTCCCCATCGACTGAACATTCCGCGAAAATGCCGTTGAAATTCATGATTGATTCGATTCAATTGTCAATAAACGTTTACTCTTCATTAGAGTGATACCCGTGCAAAGGCTAATAAGGAGATTGTGTGTCCTTAACACACAAGCTCACGGCACGCACGCCGCTTCGCACAAACTCATAAAAGATCAAGTTACTTCTCTATAGATAGAGTTCTATATTCTCTTACAAATTTTTCCATTCAGCTTTCAATGAGTTTGTGCACCGTGGAGATTCTACACACAGATACTGATCACAGATCAAACATTAGAGATCAAACAAATCAGTAAAAATAAAAAATCATGTATAATACATCTTATTGCACCACTAATAACTCTCCTAGCTGCGGTAAACAACTTCTCACTGCAATCCCATGGATTATGCATGGATTATGTATGGGGAGTACGCAGCGTAGTGCAGAGAGTCAGCATTCGCGCCGACGTTAGGCTTTTCATTTGCAGTGAGGAGTTGTTTACCGCAGATAGCAGAGTTATTAGTAGTGCAATATGATTTATTATACATTAGTTTTATTTTTACTGATTTGTTGGAACTGCCAGTGTTGCAGAGGTGCATCTGTGTGTAGAAACTCCACTGTGCACAAACTAATTGAAAGCTGAATGAAAAAATTGAATAAGAGAATAGAGAACTCTATCTATATAGAGAAGTATAACTTAATCTTTTATGAGTTTGTGCACAGCGGCGTGCGTGCCGTGAGATTGTGTGTTGTAGATGAGCATTTGACAAGTCAGTAACAGAACCTTTGCCTCCCACACTATACCACAGGCACTTGGAGCGTTTCAATAAAATATAATGCTAAATAAATACGAAATCTATTTACTACCAAAGTCTTAATGTTTCTATACTCTCTTTCACCTATTATTGCCGACAATTTTCTGCAAATGCCGTCGAAATGCTCATCTGCAACAAACGCTGGCTGCCGCTGCACACTGACACATAAATATATAGTTATTATTATTA